GCATCGCTGCAAAGCCTGCTAAAAAACTTCAATTAAGCATTGTAGATGTTAGTCATGTGTGGAGAATATGTCAAATGCGGTAAAAATAAACTTTAAGGGAAAATAGTTCTTTTGAACCAGTTCATTCTTTAACTTCAATCAATTTTGTTTATTGATCACACCGACAAACCTGAAACATTAATTTTGGAAGAATAAACATTAGCTAACGATTGCTACAGATCGTTTCACTACCTAGCTATAGTTAATTTTCCTAGCCAGCCTGCTTTGCTTGTGTTATTGATTGTACTCAAAGTTAAAAGAGCACAGCGTGGAGGAACTTGGGGGTGGGTTTTAGAGGGGGCTTATTCTTGTTAGTAGTAGATTTTGCCACAATCCAACACCAAAAAATTTAGAACTTGCCTCAGATGTGTGTTCGCTTTATGGTTTCACGACTAGCCTTGTGAGACCAGCAATGTGCTTTATGCTAATGGATGTAATAGAAACCTCTATTGCTTGTTGCTACATTAGCCTCATAGCACCAGCGCAAAGCTAAAGAAGCAAATATGTTTGCTTACCATTGTGCCTTGCATGATCAAGCTGTTTTTTTGACAGTAACATTAAATATTATAGGTCAATCCACAGATTCAGCACAACCTCAACTAATGAGGTACAGCACTTAATAATATTAATACACATTGATATACACTAGAACAGGATATATAAGCCCTTAAACAATCACAAAACCCTCCTATACCTTAAAACAGGATATAAACAAACTTCCAAAGCCAACAAATGCAAAAACGCCCAAAACACCAGCAAAGATAGTGGATGAATTATCTATATATACAAAAACAACAGAGAAATCAATGCTCCATGCAGGAGGACGAACTGTGTAGTTTAGTTTAATGAGGGAAGGAAATGTTCCACACTGTCAAACTAGAGATCGCTAGTTATCCCAGCGTCTTCGTTTTCATGTGAACAAAAACAACGCTTTAAAGTAATGCGCCACAGTGTGGAGTTTTGTCCAGTCTAATGGGGTTAACCCCCTAAATGGCCAGGGCCCACCAGCGGGCCAAAAGTTTTATTACGCACTTCTATAACATAAGAATAGCTCAACCAGTTCGCAGTGAAGTCCCTGTAGTTACTGAATAATAAACCTTAGTATGTAATAAACCCCCTAAAATCTTATTTTAAAATGACCACAAGACCAAAACAGAGCTACACAACGCTAACCTGCTAGACATATACAGTGTGGCAAATCTATTCAGCCTCAGAGGAGCATTCATGCTAGGCACATTAGGGGGTGAGCTGAGTAATGCTACTGTACTTTAATAACTGAAATGGCTTTATAATTTCATAATCAGAGCACGCAGAGCGTAGCTGTAGAGAACTCAGCATATATTTGCCTTCAGTCTGTATTAATTATGGCCTTGTTGCATTTGAAGCCCAGAGACCGAAACGTATTCATCTCTCCATGTTTACCAACGAGTCATGGCCACACACTGAAGAGTGTGTGGAGATTGAGTGATGGAGGAAGTGAAAGAGAGAGATGAAATTCTGCCCTCTGAATGCTCAGCATAACAACAGCAGAGGCAACAGGTCTCAACACAGCGAAAAATGAAAGCATTAAAATATGAGATATTAGTCCGCAAACAACCTCAATAAGCTTTCCATCACTAGAATAGGAGAAAGCAGTACATACACAACAACATGAATAAAAATATATGCCCATGAACAACCTCAAAAACATTGCTATGTAGTTTAAGCTTATACATGAAAATGAAAAAGTGCATAAACAACCACTATAAACGCTCCTATACACTAAAACAGTAGATACTACCCATAAACATCCTTAACAAACATGGCTATACAATCGACTAGGAGATATTAGCCCATGAACAACCTCAGTAAACGGTCTTATAGATTAAAATAGGAATGTTAGTCCATTAACTACCTCAATAAACACTCCTATACACTAGAACAGGAGATATCAGCCATGAACTACCTCAGTAAACAGTCTTATAGATTAAAATGGAAAATGTTACTTCATTAACAACCTCAATAAATATTAAAATACACGAGAACAGGAGATATTAGCCCATGGACCACTTCGGTAAACAATCGTATACATTAAAATAGGAGATATTAGTCCATAAACAACCCCAATAACTGCTCATAAACACTAGAACAGGAGATATCAGCCCATGAACTGCCTCAGTAAACAGTCTTATACACTAAAATAGGAAATGTTAGTCCATTGTCAACCACAATAAAAGTTCTGATACACTACAACAGGAGATATTAGCTCATGAACCACCCCAGTAAACAGTCTTATAGATTAAAATAGGAGATATTAGTCCATAAACAACCTCTATAAACACTCCTACAGACTAGAGCAGAAGATATTAGCCCGTGAACCACCTCAGTAAACAGTCTTATACATTAAAATAGGCGATATTAGTCCATAAACAACCTCAATAAACGCTCAAATACATAACAGGAGATATTAGCCCTTGAACTGCCTCAATAAACGCTCATATACACTAGAACAGGAGATATTAGCCAATAAACAACCTCAGTAAACAGCCTTATACATTAAAATAGGAAATGTTAGTCCATTAACAACCTCAATAAACGCTCCTGTACACTAGGAGATATTAGCCCATAAAAAACCTAAATAAATGCTTCTATACATTACAACAGGAGATATTAGCCAACGAGCTAAACAGTAAACAGTATTATAGATTAAATTTGGAAATGTTAGTCCAATAACTACCTCAATATGCTCAAATACACCAGAACAGGAGATATTACCCATATACAACCTCAACAAACACTCATATGCACTAAAATATGACATATTAGTCCGTTTTTATTAACTGAATTAAAAAGTAAAGTTTATCAATGAAGTCATTCCACAGCAACGGCTGATAATTTTGGTTGTTTCATTTTACTGGCAGTGCAGTGAGATACAGCATGTGAAAAAAAAATCCTTCAGTAAAAAGGTCTGAAAATAAGTAAACAAATAATCATAAAATTCTTACAACAACCTCATAATGAGAAATACTACAGTATGCTTTAATATCTAAAGTGCCTTTTTTTTCTCACAATGAAGGAAATGGAACAAGTCTCAGACAAAAAGAGGAATCACAAACACTTCAGGCCATCCTTCGCTCAAATCCAGGCAACAAGGACATTTCTTTGTATTGTTTGAGGAATGAACTTCTCCCGGCCTCATTAACACACATTCAAATAAACAGCAACTGTGCCCTTAATCAAAATGTGTGATCTTGTAATCTCTCTGTATCTGTGTTTATCTATCCGCACTAAGTCTCGCTTCTGGCAGAGCCTTAGCTTGATGGTATCTTTATGCATTTTTTGCACTAGCCAAGTGGCCCCCACCCTGGTCCTCAGGGCCCCCAGACAGTCCATGTTTTTCTTCATCCCTAAGGCCTGATTCACACATGCTGCATCTGAAAGCCATGCTTTTCATTTCGGCACCCGTGTTAACTGGTCAGCGCTTTCACACAGGCTGCATGTGCGAAGCAGCAGAGCATCCCGGACTCTGCACTGAAGCCATTTTTATGCGTCACACAGCAAAATATACTGATAAAAACCCATGAAAATCAATGAATATTAAAATGTCTACAAACTTGAAACATTATCTTTTTTTAATTTAATTTCATTCATGACAAAATACTAGTTCAACCTTCTGTGCTGCAAACAGATTTTCCGGTTGGTCTACCAGGCTTGAAACTTCAAGTCAGAATGCTGCTGAGGATAAACAAATATGTCATGCACTTTTATGAATTAGATTTTTATTGAGCAGATTGACTGATGTGACCATATATCCATTCGGAAACAGGAATTTCTGTATAACTTTCTTGTTGCTCCGCTCCACAGCACAAATGCTGTACGTATGGCAGTTATGGGCTGGAGGTTAGGGAACCAGCCTTGTGACCAGAAGGTCGCAGGTTCACTCCCCTGAGCCGACAGTATGTGACTGGAGTGCCCTTGAGCAAGACACCTAACCCCCAACTGTTCCCCGGGCGCCGTGGATAGGGGCTGCCCACCGCTCCAGGCAAGCGTGCTCACTGCCCCCTAGTGTGTGCGTTCACTAGTGTGTATCTGGTGTTTCACTGCACAGATGGGATAAAATGCAGAGGTGAAATTTCCCTATTGTGGGACTAATAAGGTTAACTTAACTTAATGAAAGGCCAGCTGTAGTGGTCACGCTGCCGCGTCGCTCAGGCCACACAGAAGCCGTATGTATGAATAAGGCCTAAGTGTTGTGAGTTGGCTTGGAGCAAAAATGTGAACCTTAGGGTGGGCCTGAATACCAGGTTGGGAACCAGCACAGTAGCCAGTTTTGCACTAGAAAAAAAACACTTTCATTTTTCTTTTTCTTTACTTCTTTGCCATTTTGAAAATGCCAGCTGCCCTTTACACTGTGTTAACATTTCATGATGAATGGACCAACACGAATAGTCCAAAACAACCCAGAATAAAATCTTGCTACATTATTATCCTTCAAAGTTAAGAACATTCTTTCCTTCATATAAAGTTACCATTTTGGACAGAGAAGGTTTTGATGATAAGAGAACACAACAAAGCTTGTCTCTAAATGTCACTCTGGATAAGAGTGCCCGCCAAATGCCGTAAATATAAATGTAAATGTAAACGCAACAATGGCTGTTTTTCCCAGACCTCTGCTTCAACAGCACTACACCATAAAGCAGAAAGAATTAGACTCCCCATTCAGAGAATTCTGTAGCGCTGAGATTTATTCGCTGCCATCATCAGAGAGAAAAACACCGCTGTGACACTTTGGACATCATAATGTCTCTGGAACGGCCGCAGCAGAGAGCAGATATTTCACTCAGCGTGGCTGGCTCTCGCCGGGACGCGACGTAAATCAAGCAGGACGCGCTAAAGCCTGTTGGCTCCTCCTGAGGAGAGAGACGCACTGAAAGACGACGGACAAATTAGAGAGTTAGCGAGCTCCACGGCGGAGCGGGTACCTCAGTCCGAGACGAGGGGGACTCCGGGATCGCGGCTGCAGAGGCTGAGCTTCTCGGTAGGTTCTTCCACGGGTTCTTCAGCATGGAGAACGCATGTGAAGCGCCCGTCCCATCTCGGTTCTAAATCTCCAAGTTGCTTCTGTCCTGGTCAGAGATCTTTATCTGTTAATTTAACTCAGAGAGGTTTTACAGCATGGACATACTGATCTACAGTGATGTCAAACATCTATACCTCCCTTTACTAACTTCTCTAGCAGACTACGTCTCTGTGTGTATGTTGTATATGTCTCTTTATCTCTCTCTCTCTCTCTCTCTCTCTGTATTAATTTCTACTAAATCCGTCTCTCTCAGATTGGTCTATCTCTCTCTGTCTCCCTCTCTCTTTGAGTTGTCTTTGTCTATTCTATATTTTCCCTTTATTCTATCTATCTATCTATCTATCTACCTGCTTTGTTTTTCTATATTCTATTTTTCTATATTTTCCCTTTCTCTCTTCTTGTGTTCTCTCTATTCTATATTTTACCTTTACATCTATTCTCTCTCACTCACTCTTTCTCTAAGTCTATGTCCCACCTCTCTGTCTCTACTAACTTCTCCCTCCGTCTCTCTCCCTCTGTTTGCAGACCAGCTCTGCTTTGTGGGGGTTCAGACAGGCAGTGGTCAGACCCCCTTGTCGAAGGCCGTTTTGGGCGTCACTCTGAAGGCTCGTCTTCCCGCTGCGAGCGCTATGATCATATTACCAGTGCGCTATTGGTATTTGTCATCGCTATCTGAGCCGTGGCCTCGCAGTGATTGGAATGATCACCCGTGTCAGGTGCGGGACAGCTGCCTAATCCTGCCGCGTCTTTCCCAGCCAGGAGCCGCGCTGAAACACAACACCCGGCCCGCCCGCAAACACACAACGCGCAAAGAGAAGACAGACGGACAATTGGTCACAGAGACAAGGCTAATGGCAATCCTGCCAAATCCTCACGCTGGTAATAGACTTTGATGCCTTTCATCAAAATCACAGACCAGCTAGATGCTTTTTTAAGGAGGACAGTAGAAAACAAGCACAAAGTGTGATTGATGTGAAACTCTACTCTGAAAATAAAGGTTCCTAAATGGTTCACGGACATATGGTTCTACAAAAAGCACCTTTAATTGACATCAAACCTTCACAGTCAAAAAGCACTTGAGCCAAAGTTCTTAGCAGATAACCTACTAAACTGGCAACCTCCACCAGTGCAAAGCGTCAGTAGACTGTTGGTAATTAGTGCTTCTCTTAGTAAATCTGCCCAATAGTGTAAACATACTTGTGAGCTTCATCTGGCATACCAGTTTCCTCCCTTTCAATGATGCACACAAAAGCTACTTGTGCGCTAACAGCTACCCATAGTGGAGAACAATGGAGGAGACAATATATATATATATATATATATATATAAATATATATATATATATATATATAAACACACACACACACACACATTTAAGCAACCACCTGGGACACCACAGCAACTATCTATTAACATCTTAGCAACCATATAAAATAACTATAGCAATCACCTGGCAACACCATAGCGATGATTCTCAAATTGCTTAAGCTGCACAACCACTATATTTACACAATTCTAGTTATTCCAATTTACTACTCCAATTTACCAAGACTGATAGTAAATACTGATTCACAACTGTTTAACCACAAAGAAAATCTTATCTTATTCTTGTCTTATTTCATAGTACTTTGAATTAACTTTACAACACAGTCAAAGAGCACATTTTGCCTATATAATTGATTTGACAGTTTTCTTTTCAAACGTTTGTTAAAAGCACATATTGAAACTCTTTGGCTCTGGATTCCCTGCTTTACTAAAGCTGAAATGTCACAGCCATTCTTTAATGAACTGAACATCCAAATCATGAGGGAATAAGTCCTCAACCTAATTGGCCACAGTTTAAACAAGAAACAGAAGTATTTTTTTTCTCCTGGTGGAAATAAGCTTTCAGACAAAAAGCACTTGAGTCGAAGTTCTTAGCAGATAACCTGCTTAACTGGCCACCTCCACCAGCGCAAAGTGTCGGCAGACTCTTAGTAATTAGCGTCTCTCTTAGTAAATCTGTCCCACAGTGTAAATATACTTAAATATACTTAAATATACTTCAGCTGGCATACCAGTTTCCTCCCTTTCAATGATGCACACAAAAGCTTGTGCACTAACATCTCCCCCTAGTGGAGAATATTTAGCCTGTTAAATGCAGGTCAGTGATTAAGGAGCTGATAATCCAGGTCCATGAGGTGTTTGGCATCTAAAAAAAAAGTTTGATCACAGTCTAGTGTTGAAAACACTCCTCTGAATAAGACCTTATCCGATGACACGGGGCACGGAACAAGCTCTTATTACGATGGTGATGTTCACCAGAGCTGTTTATTAGCCTGATTTGCAATCAAGCAAGCACAGGTTGAATATCAGAGGAAATTATAGCTCAGTTATTTTGCGAGAAGGTACATGTTTCTAAATTCGGCTCAGATCAGTTCAGTTCAGTGAGCTTTACTGACACGGCTGCTTTATATGCGATATGGCCAATGTAGGAATTGTAAGGCAATGCAACAGCAAACTTTGTGAGGAGCTTCACATCTAATAAACAAAACCGTGTCCACCAAACTGACTGAATTGAAGCCAAAAGGTGAAAAGTGTGATGCGAGATATTAAGCACATCTTTATTCCTGTCTCATAGTAAAGGCTGATAGGAAGGCAAAGCCTGCCTTGAGGTTAATGGCAGTAAATGCAATTGACCAAATCACAGGCCACTAATGGTGTTCAAATAGCTATTGAAATAGAATATTAAATGAAGCTTAATGGTCTGGCACATCAGTTATGGGACCCGTGAAGGAATACAGTGAAGAGTTGCAGCCACAGGCTAAAAAACTCATTGCCACAGCAGCGAAATGCCACACACACATCGAACAGACTGAAAGTTGCTGCAATTTATCCATCAGAGTCACAGTAATGATGCTAGCAGCGTTCCACGATTGGTTCTTGCAAGCGTTAGTCAAAAAGTCTTGTGCCTCAGTCAGCCAATAGCTGCAGGGTTCTGGCTGAGCAGCAGGGGAAAGTTTGGGCCCTGCTGTTTGTGCAGCCTCTGCAAACCCATCATAGCTGTAGAAGAAGCTCATCTAAAATAGATTACAGGATCTCTTCATTTCAGAATAAAGAGCCTTCTGCACGTCCTCACTCGGCTGGCATGGATGATTCAATCGAATCCAGAGTGCGGCCCACGCAGACGGTTCTATTGCACACACTGACAGACTGAGGCACGGGGCCTTGAATCTCAGGGGAGAATTAGCATACGGTAATCTGCTCCAGAGAGAGCGGGAGATGGGCAATAACAGCGGGGCTCAAGGAGCATTCGAGGGCAGACAAAGTCAAGAGTTTACCGCTCCGCCGGATCCGACGGCGCCAAGGCGAGAGCGGTGTGGCAGCATGGGTTAGCACGTGTCTGGACGACAATCCCAGCCTTCACTTTCCATCTGGAGCCTCCTGCTGCTCCCTGCAACCACCGGTCCTACATGCTAATCCTTCACCCAAATAAGCCCCCAAACTTTGCACAGTCTGCATGGGCCATGGGGGTCCTGAAATACCTCGCAGCAAGGGCTGGGCTAAAATTATCTCTAATTATTATATGCATTTCCTAATGCTCAAGTTTAAGTCTGTGTAGTATTTTGAACTCTGAAGAAAACCCATAAAAAGGCCTAGTCTGGGTGATAAGGTCAAAAATCAAGTTACCCTTATTAGTCCCACAATAGGGAAATTCCACCTCTGCATTTTAACCCATTAGTGCAGTGAAACACCCACATACACACTAGTGAATGCACACACGCACACTAGGTGGCAGTGAGCACACTTGCCCGTGGTGGTGGGCAGCCCCTATCCATGGTGCCTGAGGAGCAGTTTGGGGTTAGGTGCCTTGCCCAAGGGCACTTCAGTCACGTACTGTCGACTCAAGGGATCGAACCGGCGACCTTCCGGTCACAAGGCTGGTTCCATAACCTTCACCCCACGACTGCCCTCAAAATTACTATAATATCTAACTCCTATTGCCTCTTTTGAACAGCAGTTAGTATTCTGGACCCTGAAGAAAAGCCTAAACAGGGCCTACTCTTGTCTAATATACAAAACTTTTATTTTAATGTTTTTAATGTATGAACCAGCTCTTGCCACAACCTCCTCTTGTTCAGAGATGTTTTCCTCGATCTCCATTTCCACTCTTGATTATTCCCACATTGAAAATGGCACCCTAAGCACTGCGGTCCTCCTCAAAGTTTGCGCTTTAGTGATGTCAACAATGCACTGATGTAAAGATGGAAAGAGATCTCAAGGGTGCTAGGTTTAAAAGCGTGCATTTGGGATAGACATGTGAACCACTCAGGCAATGCATGTGCCATACGCAGCTATGTTTTGCTAGTCTTGTGCTTTTTCTGTGCTAATTTGCTGATGTACAGTGGCTCAATACAGATTACAAGCATAATGCTGTGGTAAATTAATAAACAAATCCATTTTAGCTCAACCCTGAATGAAGTCGTATGAAAAAAATTTAACACTCTGGTCAAATTACATGTTTTGGTGCTTCTATAAGTGAAAATAAGTGAACACAACCTGCACAGGGAACAAACATAGTGCATAATTTCTATTCATTGTGGTTAACATATTTAACAAAACAAAACATAAAATATGAAAAGTGCCGTAACATTCGCACAGACCACATTTTATGTTTTACGTTTTCCAATGTGTGCAGAAGTGCCTTCTCTGTAGAGGATGTGTTCAATTATTTTCGCCTAGAAAAATGTAAAAAAACGTAATTTGACCAGGGGCGCCAAACTTTTGCACATAACTGTATGTCCTTCCTTGCATGTTGGTAATGCATCAAAAGGAGTTTAGGTAAGGGTCCACATAGAGAAATGGTACACCTCATGGCCTCGTGGTCCTGGTCAGCACTTGCAAGTGAGGACCGCAAGTGAGCCAAATGAGATTGAGCTTTGGTTTGCACTGTGAGTGAATGGCTAGACTTCTTCACCAACTTGTTCAATCCAACAAAAGGTGCACATCACCACCCTGCGTACCAGAATAC